CGAGGCCACGAGCATGTAGCCGAGGGTGCGCAGTCGGCCGTCGACGTCAAACAAGACACCGCGCGCAGCGGCCACGACGTCACCGTCGCTGGGCAGAGCCAAGAGACACTTGAGGGCGTGGAGCACGCGCCGCTTGTCCTGGAACGAGTCGGCGCGTCGATGCGGGCTCCCGATACGGACAAGAACGGGGCCTCGGACGCAAAGCGATGCCATGCCTCGGCGTCGACGCCCGAGACCTGTGAGAGCGCGCCACGAGCCGCAAACAGACGCGCTGCAATGGAAGCGTCGACGGCGACGCCGACCATAAGAAGCGCGTTGGCATGGACATTCGTATCGAGGTCCCCTCCAAAGCAAAATACTCGCAAATCGTTGCCGATTCGGTAGCACCCCCTACTGTATATCGGGGAGGGTCGGAACATCCGGATGAGATCCATGGATGAGATCCGGGATTGGCGCCAGCGGATCCAATATCACAGTGCTGCCTGCAATGGCCCAAGGACCTTGCGACCGTGTGTGTGGAGCGCCCCCGAGCCGTACGTACCTGCATCGTCCGAGACGACGGCGGCGAACACTCTCTGCCAGGCGTCGAGAGCCTCGGCGGCGGCTTTGGCCTGCAGCACGACCGCTTCGTGAGCTACCGCGCCATTGGCAAGCACGCGCTTCTCTAAGAGACGCCGGTCCACAAGAGCAGCTCCAGCAAGGCGTCGCTCGGTATCGAGCTGCCGGGTACATTGCACCTTTGGCCTGTATGCTGGCGCTGAGTGAAGACATGTAGTGAGCGTCGCGCCGCAGGGCGTCCGCGTCTTCGAGTCGCTTAACAATCCGTTTGTCTCGATCTGCGTCATCACGTGCGCCAAGACGATCCGCCGCTACTGCTACAAGATCGCGCCGGCGCTCTCCTTGACCGAAGGCTGGGACGAGGTCGCGTTCGCGATGCGCTCGCTGCTGCTCCAGACGTCGATCAGCGCCGTGTGCTGGCTCGACGAGTGCAACGTGGTCGTGGGCGGCGACGACGGCGCCATCATTGCGATCAACGTCGGCCTCTCGATCTGTGGGCACTCGCACGCGTCGTTCCACGAAGTTGCGCTCACAGACCACGTCGGCTTGCAGTGGCTCTGGGCGGCCTCGGCCTCGGCGGCGCCCGTGCCCAACACCAACCACGACCACGACAGCAACGACACGCTCGTTCAATCGCTCTCGGTCGACTATGTCTTGCTTGTCTGGTCGTACGAACAGCTGAGCTGCCTCTGCCACCAAGTGATTGGGTCGGTGCTCGGGCTCCATGCTGACGCGGCGCCGGCGACCGCTGCGTCGATGGCGATCGTGGACCATCGCATGCTCCTGCACATAACGACGAGGACGACGCCGCATGCCATTGAGCTGCTCCATGACGAGCTCTCGCCAGCGTCGATCGACCTCCACGTCGCACGCCGCTTTGTGTTTAAGCAGCTTCCGGTCGTCCGACTGGTCGACTTGAGCGTTGATGACGCGCGGCTTTTCTCGATTTGGCGCGCGCCGTCGACCGACTATGTGGTCCATTACCCGCGCTTGCTCATGGCCCCAAGCAGGTAACGGGTATCGTCCTGCGTGGCACGCAAGCGTGGACAGCAAAAGTGCACCCCCGACGACGACGCCTTGTCGAAAGCCTGTACCGACTTATCGCAGATTGGCGTACACTCTATTTTATTCATATTCTTTCTTGCTAATCTTGGGTGTAGGCGTTCTACATGTAGCGGCTCGGCGCCCCGGGGCGCTTCAACGACGAGTGCCTCCGCTCGACCTTGTCGACGCTTGTGACGGGACCGGCACCGACGCTCGACGGCTCCGACGTGCGCGTCTGGACGCGGTCCAATGTCAGTGGTCGTTGCAGAACGCCAAGGGTTCGAACCCGTATACGCTCCGATCGATCGACCGTGTGGCGCCACGTTCTCGTCGTCGCCACAAGGTACGACATATGACAACTTGTCCATCAGAAAAAATGTTATACGAAACGTAGAACTAGCATAGGGCAGTGGAGAACGTGCCCCTCGGCTTTGAGTCGTGCAACTTGCTCGGATTGCGCGTGCTCTTGCGGCGGGACGTCATGACGTCAAGTTCGGGCACGTCCGACTGCCACTCGCGTTCGAGCGACGCATAGCAGGACGCTCTCGAAGCACCGCAAACGTGGGCAGAAGAATCGAGTCGTAGAGGTCCGCGATCGTCGCCGGGCGGTCGCTGAGGATCAAAGCGGTGGCCGCTCGAGCGGTCGCTGGCCATGTGGTCCAACTTGTACTGGCTATGCAGCCAGACGCAGTCGACCTCGAGTGAGCCCGTTGCGTCGTCGACGCGGTCGTTCATCGCGGTCGTCGTCGAGCTCACGACGTTGCTCAAGGAGCATGTGCCCGAGGGTCTGAGCCGACATGTGGTGTCGTTTCTGCAAGCGATCCCCGTCGATGTCGCCGAGGACGACATGACGCTCGAGTTTGTCTGGTACAGCCTCTTCAAGCTCTACGTGGGTGGCTAAAGGTGTCTACGAGAGTGCCCACTCCAGAAGCTGGTGGCGCTTGGTGCGAGTGCGCCGTCGCTGGACGAGTGCGTCCGGCGGTACTTTGTCGTGCAGCTCTGTGACGCTGGCCGCGTCGACGTGGTCTGTGACGTGCGCTGGGTGCGTTTCCACGAATCGCTGCTTCTGTGGCTAGCCGCCAACACCCACGCGCATGTGTCGCCGGCCTAGTCGTCGCAGAGCGCGTCGGCCTTGTTCTGTCTCCTCTACAGCTTTGACATCGCTTGCAGTCGGTTTGGGCACGCGCCATGTACTCGCTCGTCCTCGCCTCGAGCTCGAGTCGTTGGCCGCATCGATTCTCCAGGTTCAGCGAGACGAACTCCTCGCGGCCTCCAACGCCTTGGAGCTTGTACCTGAAGCACATCGGCGGTTTGTGTCACAGACCGGTCTCGCCTCGGACGCTGGCGACTACTCTTGGTCCGCGGCAAGCTCGCGCTGCCCAAGCTCAGTCTGGCACTCGGGTCGTCTCACTGCTGCTGACGCACCTTGCGTCCCTGCCCGTGCGGTCGATTGCGGTCGATTGCGGTCGATCGAGCTCGCGTCGGCGATAGCGCTTGAGCTCAACTTAGAGGTCGTGGTTCGTGCGGTCGCCGGTTCGACTCTTGGTTTGCTTATCTGAAAAGGTATGGCGTCGTCCGGTTGTGATATGCCGAGCGTCGATTGGTTGAAAAGAAGCCAATGAAAAGGGGGATAATGTCAGTTTTCAAATCAACGGCGACGGAGGATGCCAACGAACGACGAGGTAGAACGACGACCAAGCGACCTGCGACGATGTGGACGAGCAAGGATGTAGTATTCGCTTCTCACTGCTGCAGCAAGTGGCAACGTGGCTAAGGTTCAATCCTATCTCGACAAACGCGTCAACGTCAACTGCACAGACAGCGTACGTTGGATCTCTCGGATTGAATTGTTTTATAATCATACATTGGAGATTTATACGCCATTGCACCGAGCTGCTTACAATGGTCATGTGGACGTCGCCCGCCTCTTGCTCGACAAAGGCGCCGATGTGGAAGCGTCCAATGCGGTACGCTTTTGTCTTTATGAAGCGGTGTTAAAGTATCTATCGATGTAGAATGGTTATACACCACTGCACTATGCCGCTCAAGGCAAAAAACCAGAGATGGTCGAATTTCTTTTGGCAAAAGGCGCCAAAATCGACGCCAAAAACAAGGTACGTACTGCCACCATATTGGCGTATGGTGCGGGCATAAATGTGCCTCAAGCCATCGTCAAGGACCAACAATTGTTTTTCTAGAATGGCCAAACGCCGCGTGAGGTCGCAGAAGCACGCGGTTCTAATGATTTCGTCGCAACGCTTTTACGCGACTATCCTCGCATGCAAGAGGAGCAGGTAGATAGTCGATTATAATAACGTGCTTCTCTGCCGCGTCTATACTCACTCTCTGCTATAGCTCTTCGATGCACTGCGCGAGAAGCGCATTCCTGACGCCATGCGCATTCTCCAAAACAACTTTTATCACGTCAACCTCCGTGATAGCGTACGCATCACTTTTCAAACAATGTACCATTGATGATAGATGTGACTCATATGAGTGTAGTCTGAGACGCCGTTGCTGCACGTGGTCGTAGCGACGCAAGATCTGTCGCTGCTTCAAATGTTGCTTCAAAGGCGAAACCTCCAAATCGATGCCAAAGACTCGGTTCATCCATAAATCGTATTCACGTCCAACATTCTCATGTCAATGATGATGAAATAGATGGGTCGCACGGCTCTCACAGTCGCCATCACTACGGGCACCGCAGAGTTGGTTCAGGCGCTGTACCAAGCAGGCGCATCCGTCGATCTCGTCGACCTGGTTGGAAATTTACATCTTTTTACTGAGAATTGACGATGCGATGCAGAGTCTCCGTGCTTCAACGCCAGTCTTTGCCATCGCTTTACACCAAGCAGCCTCCATCAACGAAGGCAGCACGGTGGCTCAGCTACTGCGTCTGGGCGTCAGCTCCTTGTTGGCCAACGAGGTACTGTATAATTTTGAGCTAGAAATTCAAAAGCATCTTGGTTTGATCTAGAAAGGCGAGACAGCGTGGCATGTGGCGGCTGCAAAGGGGTATATGTCCATCCTCATGATGCTGCTCCAACAAGAGACCAAGGACGAGAACGGCATTGACGTGACCAACCACGTACACTCTACTTCATTTCCATTTTTACGTTAAGAACTGGTGTAGAATGAGGAATCACCCCTTTTTGTCGCTACCACCAGTGGCCACGCCGGCGTTGTCAAGTGTCTCCTTCGTGCCAACGCCAGCCCCCACATTATTTCCCATGTACTGCCGATAGATGATTCGTATTCAAAAGGCATCATTGCAACGCTAGGATGGATCGACACTGCTGCATGCGGCTGTGATTGGCGGGAACATGATTGTCCTTCACCAAATCGTTCAGAGTGGCGTCAACGTCGATGCGTCTGACGCGGTAGACAATATTGTATGTGATAGAATCAGTCCAACTCCTATCTCGTCTAAACTAGATGGGGCAGACACCGCTCCACATTGCGTCCGAGAAGGCCTACGACAGTGTGGTCAAGTACCTTCTGGACGTCGACGCCAACGTCTTTGCCAAGGACAAGGTATCGCCATCTCAACACACATGAAAGCTCTAGGATGACGCGATTCCTAGACGGGCAAGACGCCGTTGATGCTGGCGACCCACCCACTTGTCATCAACACCCTGCTACAGGCAGAAAAATCGACCAAGCAAAAGGTAGTCTAAACGATCCAACGCATCCTTCTGCAAGTATGAACGTCGTAGATCCCTCTGCTCTCGGAGGCCATGCTGGACCACATTGTTACGCGTGTTTCCACCTCGGAGACCATGCTCGACCACATCATCACGCGTGTCTCTTCCTCGGAGACTATGCTCGACCAACTCGTTGACCGTATCTGCGCCTCGGAGGCGATGCTAAGCAAACTCGTCCAGCGAATTTGCGACCGCCTCGACGTCGGCCACGAAGCTTTGGAGGTAAATTGCTGCATATGTGACGCGTCATTTCCTACGATGTAGGCCTCGGTGGATCGACCTGAGGGCACTCGAGGCGCGAACGTACAACTTATTTTGGACGATACATGTCCATGCAGACGGATGTGTAATTAGGGGCATGCTCAAGCTGTCTTCGTCAACGACGCCAGCCAAGAGCTGCTGGCCGACGACAGTGATTCCGACGCCGCGAACGCGGTACAGTATATACTCTGACTCGTTTCTTGAGACGCTAGAACGGTGTAGGCGGGCGACTCACCTCTGCATCTCGCTGTACAAACCAACGACCACAAGACGTTGATGTCGCTTTTGCGATCGCCCAGCATCAACGTCGACGTTCGCAACGCGGTACAAAAACAAAGCGGTCGACGACAACAATGACAATATTGTTGCTGTTTAGGCGGGCGTGACGCCGTTGACTCTGGCCATCCAAATGGGCCACCGACGCCTGGCGACGATGCTACAGACAGCTGTCCACCGCATCATCCCCAGCGTACTCATCACTTTCCTACGATCGATCTTTCTTTACCATGGGCGACTCTAGGTACCGGCCACGGACATCAAGATGGACCAATCTAGTCCAATCTATGGCACCGTGTACAAGGGCACGTACAAGGGTCGTGTCGTCGCCATCAAAACGCATGCCGATGAGTCCTCCGCCCAAGCAATCATCCACGAAATGGAGACCATGCAGCAGTAGATGACCTTGGTCTTGTGCAATGATCTAAACAGCAATGATTGTAGGTGCAACTCGGCGTACGTGCAGCAGCTGCTCGCCGTCTCGGATATCAACTCGACCAGTCCCAAGCTCGTGCTCGAGTACATGGACGCGGGGGATTTGCGCAGCTACCTCGACGCCAAGCGACTCGGTGAGCCCACCAAGGTCAACGTCTCATCATTGGAAGTCGCGTGGGTGGTTGCGAATGCGCTCGCCGATTTGCATCACAACGGCGTCTTCCACCAAGATCTTGAGAGCTACAACGTCCTTCTCTCCTCGACCAACTACGTTAAAGTCGCGAATCTCGGTTCTGGCCTCGAGTCGGATGCGACGACGGGCAAGAGCACACCGTACTGGACAGCACCCGAGGTGCTTGCGTCGACGAGCAACTACAGCTTTGCAGCTGACATTTACTCGTTTGGCGTCATTTTGACCGAGCTCGACACATTGCAGTTGCCCTTTCATGACGCCAAGGGCCTTGGGTACTGGGGCATCATCGACGGCGTGCGTCTCGGCAACCTCCGTCCGACAGTGAGCGCGAATTGTCCGCAGTGGTTGCGTGACCTCGCCGACGCTTGTCTCTCGTTTGACCCGAGGCTGCGTCCGTCGGCGCAGCTGATTGTCCAGTCGCTCCAAAAGCTACTCGATCGCAGCGAAGAAGAGCTTTTGGCGCCTTTTAAGAGCGAGCAAACGGCCAAGTTGGCCGAGCCGAGTCTGGGTAGCCCCACAGTACGCGCTGCTTTTTGTACGGTCGTTGGTGGAATGACGCTGTGCCTCTAGAGAATCATAATTGACGAGAGCCCACAACCACCGACGAGCGATGCGACCAGCGACCCCGATACCGCACCGGCTGCCGTCACAACCACATCTTTGATCGCATCGACAGTGTCGGCGGTCGGGCCACCCATACAAAATAATTGTAAATACGTCTGACCACGGTCCATGTAGACGACCTCGAACGCCAAGTCTGTGAGCACGCAAATCGTGTGTCAGCTCTGCCGTGTCTCCAACTCGCTCTTGCAGACGCACTGCCAAGGCTGCGCGGAAGAGCTCGCTTCCGTTCCGTCCAAGCTCAAAACGCTCCTCAAGCGTCTCTCGGTCGTCAAGAAAAGCGGATGGGAGATCGACGACGATCTTGTTTGCACCTGCTGCGACACACACCAACCGATGGAGGCGACCACCTGTGACAACTGCGACGATGCACTTCCAGACGACCAAGAGAAGCTGCGTATCCTCGTGCTACGCATCGAGCAAGTGTCCAAGTCCAAGGCCTAATGTCCAAACTGCACGTCTACATATACTCCTGGTATAAACCATGAAACGAACCAATTGCATGACTTCTTTGAATATACACCCTCAACAGAGCAAGTCCGAACAACGCAAACCAAGACGGTCGATATCGCTGGCCAGAGCGACGCCGACACTGTCTCCACCAAGAATGAATGCGAGAGTCTAGTGAAGAAATCACCGAATGTCGAGCGCTTGGTCTTCGAGGGGCTGAGAAATGGACGAGCAAACCGACTGCAGTCGCCGCAGGTGTCTTCATCGCTACGAGCTACACGGCAGTGTATATACCAAATAGAGATCAATACAAAGCCATACATATTACACATGGCCACAGCAACGAGAGCGAGCTCGGGTCGTTGGGAGAACCTCCTTGCCGTTCTTGACGGCCGTGAGCGGACCACCCGAGTCGCCCTGGCACGAGTCCTGGCCCTTGACACCGCCCGCGCAGCACCAGCCGCCGCCGTGCAAGGGTGAGCGCCGGTGCGAGTGTCGTCGTCTTGTCGAGGAGCCACTTTCGTTCCGACGTCGAGCGGTCTCACGTGCCACGACGGCAGACGCGCCGTGCAATCGCGCGCGTGGCGGAGGAGAATGCAGCGTCGACGGTGCATTGCGGGGACTACGTCGGTGTCTTCTGCCGCGAGCCTGGCCGACCACAGCGTCAGCGTCAGAATTTACGGCCCCGAGAAAGTCGTACATACTGCTGTTTCTGTTTGAACCTATAACGAGCGCGCGACCTTGCTTCTGACTTGGGTCGCGCACGCTCGCGACGAATGAGGAGATCCACAAGCCGCGGCAAAATATTGTTTGATTCAGGCGCTAGTCACATTGTGAGACAAATGCCGCGTGAGAGTATTAATAGTGTGGTACCTCGTGACAGACAGAAAAGTGCGCTGCGCCGACGCCGTCAGATCGAGGCCCATGCCAAGCTCGCGTCTGCGCCGTGGACCTTAGGCGGGCGCGGGCAAAGTTGATGGTTGCCGAGGGCTCCGAGCTCGACTCGTCGGCAGCTCGAGCACAGACCGGATCGCAGGCGACATCGAGCGAGAGGTTCGCCGCGAGCAATAGGTCGGCGTGGCGCTGCCAGCAGTCTCGGCTCGGTGCAGTGTAGAAGCAGGAGGACGTCATGCGTAAGGTGCTCGAGCTCGCGCCATCGGATTCGGTGCCGAGATTTGGCGCGCGCGCTCCGAAGACGATGCGGCGCTGGCCGACGTGCGAGAGAGGCCGTCGAGAAATTGGCCACGGCTCCGCCCAAGGGCCGACTCGGTGGCTCGCCACGCATGGATAGGCTGCGCCATACCTACATCGCCGTCGCATGAGCGCCTCGGCCTGAGGCCTGCGCACGGCATGTCACGTACCACGGGCCTGGGCTGGCGGTGATGGTCGGTTCGAGAACTGCGGCAAGGACACTAGTGATTGGCTCGAAAGTGACATCCTTGCCGCTCTGATTGGCCACAAAGCGAACGTCTTGTCGCTCTGATTGGCTGAAACGCTTTGGCCTATCGTTGACGAAAATGAGGGAGACCGACGAGGAACGCTGCATTGCGACCGAGCGATACCTCATGATGACATGTCCAGTACGTAGAGACCATTGATGGAGTCTCCTCGAGCACAATGCAGCGCCGTCAGAGGTGCCCAAGGAGCCTCGGCGTCGTCTTTCTGGCGTCGTCGGGTATTAATATTGGCGTTCGCCATTTAGAGCCATAAAAACCATATTTTGGTGAACACAGGCGCGCCGCGCCGGCGGATCGACCAGAATGAAGTTTGAAAATGAAATCACCCATACTTGCCAGAGTGCTAGACCACACTTTGGGGAGTCCAAAATGCTATGTGGCGTCGCCGTGCGAGCTCTGTGGCAAGAGCAAATGACAGCGGCAAACAATATTTGATATAGTGTGCTTTTTCGCTATACCGAAATACTGTACGGGATACGAGGCCTCATCACGCAGCGGTATTGCGCGCACGTTGTCTCCCTCGGCCACATGCAACGCGTTCTTTAACATGAACAAAAAGAGACGACGTCCTCGGTTTCCGCGACTTCGACGCATTTTCGACCGAAATTGCATGTCGAATTTCGTGAAAACCGACGCTCGGCAGTTTGAGTTTGATATGAGTGTCCAAGCAACGACGGCGCCCAACAAACTGGTCGCACACCGGGTCGAAACCCACTGCCAACTGTGGCAGCCAGTCTTACGGTCCTTGGAGCTTCGGAACCCCGCGATGTCACGTGAAGTATTTGGGCAATTCTGCCACCACCTCGAAAAATGGAAAATGGATTTGCGCGTTAATGCGCTACGCGCAAAGTCGGAAACGACATGTACATCA